CATTTTCATTCGTAAGAATTTGGAACGTAACACTTCTGATGAAGTAAGTTGGGTTTCCTTTTTGTCTCGTATATTTATATATGGTTTATATAGTTATAATTGTTTTCAATGTAAATCATTCGATTCCTTGTATTGGCGCAAAAGGTTCAATGTTTGATCTATCTTTCGAGGCATTCATCATCATTCGAGGTTTTCAAGAAACAGAATTTAACAAAGTCGACACAATTTTTCACTCCCTCTCTGCTTTATTCCCGATATTATTTTCTCGGACGAGTGGTAGTAGTGGTAGTCGTGGCCACGTGTCAAAATATTATTCAAAATCGAGATAGGGAGAGGAGGGTATCGGGGGACGAGAAAGGAGAGGAAAGTTTATGAAACTGGTCCCCCTGAAAACAGGAAGAGCCTGCCAACCCGTCGATTCCTTCGCCCACGGACCGGATAAGATGAATCTCGCTTCTTCCGGGAGAAAGAAAACTTCTACAACTATCCGGTCAACAACTATCATGACCGTGTTTGCGAATAACGTTTGAACACACACGTTTCTCTTCACGAACGATCCGATCTTTAATTGTACCCATTATTTCTCGATAAGGATAACCTCCGTTTTCATTTTATTGAAAATTTACGCGGACCACGTCGATCCGACAAGTTACTTTTTCTTTTCCTTCCCCCCCTCCCTCCTCTCTCTCTCCCCGAACGTATAAAGAAGAAAACCGATCGAATCCAATACATCTTAATTCCATTCTACCTTACGCGAAAGAAACCAATTATTAAGAAAAATTTGTAATCCCTTCTTTCCATCTACGAGAAGCATTAACGTAGCAAACCAATATCGTAAATACACCGGAATCGGAGTAAAAATTCGAGCTCTATCGATACGAGAAACCTGTTGTTACTCGTACTCCCTTTCGCGTCGAGACGCGAGAAGAAACGCGAGCTCGAGAGAAATCTATTTTCCCTCGAAACTCGAAAACGACGTCGACTTCGAGGCGGAAAAGCAAGAAACGTTCGAGAGAGGGTTAAAAGTGGACGATATCGTCACGTGCGATCTTTTTTTTTTTTTTCAACCATCTTTCGTATACCATCGACGACAGAAGGAAGAAAGAGGAGAGAGAGAGAGAGAGAGAAGGAGCCACGATTCGATTTTGTATTGACATGTAACTGTCATCGATAAGGCTTACAGCTGTCGAGCTCGGTAGCGAAAAGATCTTTCTTGCGCTCAATGACAACCGGTTTTCTACCCGATCGGGGAGCGCACCGTTCGGGTCTTAGTATCAAATCGACTCACGGCCGCTTCCAATTGCGATCATTGCCGCAAAAAAGGTGTGCGGCGACCCTTTGGACCGCGCGACTCACGACAATTTTCTGCTCGACGATTCGATATCTGCGGTTTCCGTGCTTACACGCGTCTGCATTCCATCTTCTTCCCTACCTGTCCGCCCGGCTGTCTTACCCACCCTTTTCTCCCTCTTTTTTTTTGTTCCTTTCTATCTTTCTTTTATTCCTTCTCTCTCTCTCTCTCTCCCTCTCCCCCTTCTCTCCTACCGTTCTCCTTCCATTTCGACTCCTACCGCTAACCCGCTTTCTTCTTCGACTACTCTTCCGTCTCGAGACGTCGCGCTCCTGTTTATTCTCTTTTTCTCCTCTTCGAAGCACGCTTTCTACCCATAAATCTGTACGCAACTGTTCGGATACCCGTCCGCTCGATCGTGAGTTTTAATCATCTTCTCTTTTTTTCCCTCCTTTTCTTTCTTTCTTTTTCTTTCGCTTTCGAGCATTTCACACTTTTGCAAATGCGTATAATGTACGATCTTACTAGTCGAAAAGTTTGAAATTGTCGCATCCACCCGTTTAAAGAAAAATAATATCGAGCCGATATAAAGATCTTTTTTTCCAAGATCGGTATCTGCCACGAAACGTGGAATGGAGAAAAATCATCGTTCAGAATCATCGATCACGTCTCTTCTTAAACCTACTACACGGGATGAAAAAATTTTTCTCTCGCTTTGTCGCCCGTATCTCACGTGCGAGAACGTATCCTTGGGTGCTCGTTAATGCATACGCAAAATAAAATAGCCGAGGAGGGAAAGGGAGATGGCCCCCCTCGCGGAGGTGCCAGATCGCTCGTGTATAACTCAAGTAGGTACGAGTACGAGGTACTCGGCTACCCGATTAATGAATAATCCGTAATGAGGATGTGATGCTCGATTCGTGCCTACTCGCGCACTGTGGAATTCGCGACGAGAGAGAGAGAGAGAGAGTTTGGCGCGTATTATACGCACGCACGTTTAAAGGAAAACGGTCGAGCAAGAAAGAGGACCGCGGGTATGATTTAACGGTTGTGCGGCAATCTTGCCGTGCAGTCCACGTGACCATTAAAATATCGCCAGCCTCGAGGAAGCCCCTTCGGGAATCTACGTACGGGAGAGATCCGGCCGAGGTTGTAAACCTCCTCCTCCTTCTCGCGTACATGCAAACGTGCCTCCCCTTTCCCCCTTTTTCTCGAGCAAATTATTTCTCACCGGCGGGATTAAGAAGTTTCTTGGGAACAACACGATCATCAACACGATCGAGCGTGCACACCGCGCACGTGTTACGGGCTACGGAAAGGCTTTTTACCCGAAAGGGTAATGTTTGGCAAGATTTAATGGAAGCTCGGTACGAGGTTTGTTTATAAGTTTTATAGGTTTATTGCAAGTTGGAGGTTGTGTGACGCTTTGATTTTTTTTTTTTTCCTTTTCTGGTTTGTTTTCTCGATTGAATTATTTCTTCCTTGGGTACGTACGATCGAGGCAGGATTCGATCGAATATCTGTAAGAATACTTGAAATTATCGCGTCTCCAAATTATCGTGTCAAGATAATCGACTTGCAAACGTTTCATTGAAACGAGTAGTGTTTACAATTAACTTTAACGCTGAATTTATCGAGATCTTTTTTTTATTTCTCGAATGAATTATTTATTTCTTCCTTGATCGAGCGAAGGAAAAAACGCGTTTGCCAGGATTCGATCGAATATCTATAAGAATACTTGAAATTATTGTGTCTCCAAATGTGTCAAGATCGAAACGTTTCGTTGAAACGAGTAGTAATTCACAATTAACTTTAACGCTGAATTATCGAATGATCTTTTTTTTTTATTTATTATCTTCCTTGGGTTGGTAGTACGATGAAGCGTTGCAAAGGGAAGAGTACGCTCGCCAGGATTCGATCGAATATCTTGATATCACGAGAAACTTGAAATTATTCTGTGAAGACGATCGAACTCGAGATCTTGCAAAGCTTTCATTGAAAAGAGTATAGCATTTACGGTTAAATATCTAATGCTCATCGAGGTCTTTTTATTCTTTTCACGTTCAAATTAAACTTTTATTAACCCGATAAGAGAAGATGAGCTGATGTGTGTACCACAGGATACGTTGGATCGATCTAGCATGCTAGCTGTCCTTACGTTATTTTTGATTGTGGCGTGTAAAAGACGGGGGAAGGTTAAAAAGAAGAAGAAGGGAGGAGGCAGGATGCGAGATAAAAGGGCCGGGTATGACTGGTGCTGTCATATATAATAACCGCATAAAACAGATACGCGCGAACCAACCAGCCCACGAATATATTATGTTGCCGCGGCTAATTTACGATTATAACGTACGTGTATAACTATCATTGTTGATATACTGCCGCGACGGAGCAGCCAGAAGCG